TCCATTGCTTGTGTAACACTTGCCTGCAGCAAAGGCTTAGCTTATTTTTCAGTTATGAGTTGCTTTTTGAGGGTGTGTAATCCCATACAGTGCATCTGTTCTAATGGTGTACCAAGTGCTGAGTAGAAAGAAACAAGCCTGGTATACACTTGCCCTTTTAACAGTGGCCTGGCATACCTCAGCATTTCTCAACCTAGTGCTTTTAAGATGTTTTGGACTACAACTCTCAGCATTCCTGACCATTGGCTATGCTGGTAGAGGCTGATGAAAAATGAAGTCCAAACCTGAAGCCACAGACAAGCAAACTGGGACTCTCTCCATTGAAAATACCTGGCTCCTTGCTTATCTGTCACCCACTTAATGGGTGGTTCTTCTATTATTTATTTATTTAAAACATTTCTATGCCGCCCCATTGGAAGGTGTTCATCTTCTTCTGGATGAGGTTCCATTCCCTTGGAGGAGCAGGTTTGTAGCTTGGGGCTACCTCTGCCACTTGAGACCATTTAGAATGCACCAGGTTGGTTGAAAGCTGGTACAGCGAAATCAGCCAGTGAGTGTTTCACAGCATGGAGGTAACATTATCACCCATTTTTGGCTGCACACCAAGCTGCTGATAAAGACACATCTACAGGCAGAACTTGGGCTCAGGAGCTTTAAAAAAGTGTTGTGGGATTCTGAGCACTGTGGGATGTTGTTCATGACTTCCCCTTGCAGGAGCTGGTAAACAGAAGGGATCTTTTGCTACTTCCTTCCTTGGACTCAAGGGTTGAGACAGCTGCATCAGAGATGGCTGGGTTGTTCCATGCCAGGCCTTCCTTGCTTCCAGTGCTTTTTCTTCATTTGATTTTAAAGAGATGACAACTCTTAGGGAAGGAGAGGACCAGGAGAAGTCAAATGCAGTCCGATGAGGGGCAGGGGACAGCCAGTCTCTGCCTTTTTGCACCATCTCTGCTTGTCAGCAACATACAGTCAACTATCCATGTAGCTCTGCTTTAGCTCCAAAGGGTCCTACTCTTTTAGAGTGGAGTGGGCTGGGACAAGAACAAATCCTTAGTTTATGCCCTTCAGCCTCAGTCTCTGGGTATTCACTCTCTCCTGTAAGCAAGTATCAGGTTGTAAGACTATGGAAGTAAATTGCACATTTTTGAAATGCAGAGCACTGTAATTCTGGCCAAATAGAAAGCTAACAAGGTTTTAGGTGCATAAAATCTGAGGAGTAGCAACTCACTGGTAAAACTTCAAGGGAATCAAAGATTTGCAATGCTTAAATTGGTGGAGTCAGTACATACGCAGTATTTTTTTTATTTAAGATACTTAATATGCCATCCTGTCGCAAAAGCCTCAGGACGGCTTACATAAAATATAACATAAATAAACTCCTGACCCACACCGACTGCAGTTAAAAACACAGAAAAGACAATATTAAAACTTATTAAAATGTTGCTGGAATAAAAAGGTCTTAACCTGGCGTCGAAAAACAAATAACGACGGCACCAGGCGGACCTCTCTGGGGAGCGCATTCCATAGGCGGGGCGCCACCGCAGAGAAAGCCCTCCTCCGGGTACTTTGCCTCCTAATATCTTTCACGGAGGGTTCCCGGAGGAGGGCCTCTGCTGCCGATCTCGGGGGTGGGAGGGCAAGTATGGAAGAAGGTGTTCCTTTAGGTATCTTGGTCCCAAGCCGTTAAGGGCTGTATAGGTAATAACCAGCACCTTGAATTGAGCCCAGACTTCGATGGGAAGCCAGTGAAGCTGATAGAGGACTGGGGTTATATGAGAACAACGCCCAGTCCCCATCAGCAACCTGGCTGCTCTATTTTGCACCATCTGAAGTATCCAGACTGTCTTCAAGGGCAGCCCCACGTAGAGCGCGTTGCAGAAATCCGACCAGGAAGTAACCGATGCATGTGTCACTGTCGCTAGGCAGTCTTCCTCCAGGTAGGGATGCAGCTGATAGATTAGCCGAAGCTGAAGGAAAGCGCTCCTCGCCACCGCAGTCACTTGTATTTTGTAATGATTTAAGGATTCAGTTGTGTCTTTGCTTTGTATTACTGAACAAAGCACAGTTTTGCTGAGCAAAAGGATGCTAGTTAGTCTACTTGGCCATTATTGTTCTTGGAAGATAACTTTATTTGTACAGAAGTTTCATTATTTGGTTGGAAGACATCAATATACAATCTTGGCTTTAAAATTCTCCACTCAAATCTATATACCCGTGTCTCTCTGCAGCTGTCTTTAGGGTTTCTTACAGGAAGTTTTTGTCAATAAACTGTCTCTCAGGGTCTCCTACCACCAGCTTTTGGGCTAATAGAAGTTTTATTCCAGCACACATTTGAACGCTGATTCTTAAGTGTAGATGACATGGCAGGTAGACCCAGAAAGACAAACTTAGAAATATATTGCCTATCAGCTCTGGGAATTATTTTCCCCTCCTCTCCCCTGAGTGATTTCACTTAGATGTTTTGGCTCGTGCAATGTACTTGATTTTTAATATGAGCTTTTGTAATTGTTTGGATATTTTGCAAAAGTGAGAACAAAATGTTTTATATACAGATTGGTTTGTTGTAAGCTGCTTACCAATTTGAATTCTTACAATAAACTTAAAAAACAATCACATGCCTGTGAGATTATGGGGAGTTGTCCAGCTCCAGGCACTTGCAGCATTTTCTGTCATGTGGCAAAAGTACATAATGTTACACTGTTGTCTCATCTAATCAGGAATGTTTGCTTTGGAGGCAAGATCATCAGATGTTCCAGTTGGAGGGAAGGAGAGGAGACTCGGGAGGCCAGAGGACAACCCATCTGGAGCCTCTTCCAGTCTCCTCTTCTCCCTTTCCTGGAGCACCATCGTGGACAAAGCAAAGCAGCCACCATCTAAGCAAAAATAGACCTCAGAGTTATTCTGTCCACCCTTTATGGTGACTGAGAGGTGGTTGCTTTTGGGGTCTTATGTGTATTATACTAGAATGGGATGTTGTTAATTGCCAGTTCCACTTTTATTCTTTTCAATTCAAGGGTTAGACAGAAAAAAGGCCCCCAACTCCCAGCATTCCCCAGCAAACCATAACATTGTGCCCTAAAGGGATATCATAAAGTAGAATGGTAAACATTAACTTTGTGTTTTCCTCTGCCACTTCCCCACCTCTTGCAGAATGGTAATGCGAGGTGTTGTTTGCAGAAGACACTTAAGTTTGCAGTTTATGTTATGTAATTAGATATCCTTTGCTATATAGCAGGACAGGGAGAATTTGATTTAAATCACTAGTCAGTTAGACTAGATTTAAATCATGGTTTTCTACATAATTTGCATGCATGTCTGCCTTACCCATAGGTAGAGGAACTTTATTGAAATATTCCCAAACTGGGTCTCTTTCACTGCCTGCTGCCATTATAGGTTTTCTCCTCCAAGGAAAGCATAATGTGAAAAACCGCCCTATACACAAAAAGAACCAAAGATTTACGGAGTATTCTGCTCAAGAGGTTTCACTTTCATTTTTACATCTTGCTCCTCCCTCCTCACATTTAGCTTCTTGTGCAGATCTATTCAATTCCAACAATCTACTACTATTCATTGTTTTTTTGTTTTTGAAATTTAGCACTTAAGAGATAAGGGGTTGATTGTCACCCCTTCAAAGAAATACATATAGGTATACATATTTTGCAAAGGAACAATGAGATCAAGGTCTTTTTCTCAACTCTGTATGTTTATTTTTCAACATTTTTTCCTGTCAGAAAGAGGCATGTGATCTCCGCAGACTCAAATTCATAGTTTTGAGAACTGTAAAACCAAGTATCTGTGCTAATAACTTCTAGATAGAAACATTGCCTAATAATACAGAAACTTCTGGAAGAGCATGACATTGTGAATGGATTAATGGTATTCATTTACCAAAATTTTTAAACGTTGCATGAATATACAGCCACATGCTACATAATTAAAAACTAATCCTTATTTCATGATGAATACCTTTTGGACTATAATATGTCTCAAACAAAAACTATCTTTAGATAGATTTTCTTCAAAAAGCATTTTATTAATAAAATCCAATTTAAGGGATAAATTTTTATCCACCCTGTTGCAAGGGGTATCTATAGTATTAATGGCAGACATTAATTTTTTGTGTGTGGCTTGTCCTGGTTCTAATTATCCAGAAGCTCTACATTTTAACCACAGATTTTTGTAAACCCAGCTAAAGTACAAGCAATTCAAGCAGGCATTTTCTTAATGTAAGTGACAGTATTTAAAAAATCCCCTATATGTATAAGGAGCTGGTGTCTTATAAGATTAATGATTGACACAAGTTGGGTTATTTGAGTAATTTTGCAGCCACCTTCATTGAGGTAGCTTTCCTGTATATCACTGGATGTGACTTGGTTTTGACTTCTGCAGCTTTTTTTGTTTTTAATGTATTGTTTTAATTTATGTATATTGCTTTCATCAGTCATCAGCTTTCTTCTTTTAATGGGAGGAGGAGCAAGATATAAATGAATAAATATTCTGCATCATTAACCTCACTGAGAGCTCTAATACAAGCAAGAGGTATCCCAGTCTGTTAAAATCCTGCCCCTTTACTCTGAATCTCCAGATCCTTGGCAGGAAATTTCAGTTCTAACCATAAAATTGCTTGAATGTTTGCTTCCTCACGAAAAATGGATGTAATGAAAGAGCCCCTAGTCATCACAGGGCTCTTTCTCTAATTTTTTTCTTGTTTATTATTGAAACTAAAATATATAAACAAACCCAAAGTTTAAGTGATTACTAATTTGTCAGCATGAAGTGATTAATCAAGAAATTATTTGCATCAAATGGTGTTCTGGATACATTTGGATTTAAGAATAAATACTCAGTTTCTTGGTATTGCAGCTTTGTGAAAAAGGACTAGAGAAGTAGCCATGCGCGGGGGAGCAGGATATATAAAAGCATTTGGTAGCAACTGCAAAACAAAGCATTTTGGAAGAGGGGAACACGTTTGGCTCAGCCCTGTGTCTTCTTCCTTGTAGTGTTGCTTGACTCCCTCGCCAAGAGTGAGAAATCATCAAATGCGCATTCCCAGGCCAAGGAATCTGTCAACTCCAGCCACAGGAAGATGAGTGGTGACTTCACTTCAGTCAATGGAGAGGCAGGTGGGGATGCCAGTAAAGGTTACACTCCGGATCAGGTCGATGCGGTTAAAAGGTAAGAGCTTCGTTCTGTCCTTAAGGTAGCCCTAGTTCGTTATTGCACAGAATTTTTCAGTCACGGTTGGATGTTGAGGTAAGCACAGTGCCAGCTTGAGGTTTCGGAACAGCCTTGGAGAGGACCCCTGCAGTGGTCCACCACCCTCACTCAGTCTGTCTTCTCACCACCGCCGTCCCCAGCTGCTCTTGCTCCTCCTCCTCTTTCTTGTAATTGCTCCCACTTGTTCGACAGGCGGAGAGCCAGGGAGCAAGCTCACAATGGCATTTGCTGGGCCTCTTCACCACCACTGCTCTTGTTTAGGCCAGTGTAAGAGACGAGTGAGCAAACAGGGTGCAGTGAGGAAGGGAGGAGAAACTACAGGAGACAGTGGGCATCTGTCGATGAGAAGCTGTCATAGGCACGATGAGAAGAGTCGGCTGTGAGTGCCTGGCTAGTTGCAGAAGGCAAAATAAATGGCCCAAGAAACTGACTACAGTGGACATGCTGGTTTGGAGCCCCAAAAGCGAGATCACAGAGCCTCAAAGAGCACTAACCAGGTACCTGTTACACAGGAGAAAACCTGGTGATGCTCAGATGCATGTGTGCGTGCACGCGTACACGGTCCCTCAGAGCTACCCCCTAAACACGCATCACAAATGTGCACACACAGTCAAAATTAACCACCCCCAACACACACACAAACGCAGGCAAGCTATCCTCCTCTAGAAACAGACAAATGCAGAGAAAGGCAGTAGTGCCTTCTCCAAAAATGCATACGCAATCAAGCAAAACACCCTGATAGCTGCTTCCCCTGGCATAGGCTAGTGTCTGTTTCCTCCAGCCCTTGTACCTGCTGTGTCTCCTAAAACTTACCAACCTGCAGTGGGGGCTTTTCTGTCCTCTTCTCTTTCTGAAGTTTGGCTGGTGAACTGATTATCCAGAAATGCTACGAGTCATTGCTGAGGCCTTCAGCTGCCCCGTATTTTTCTCCCCAAAGGATGCTCTGAACATATGTGACTTCCAACATATGCTGGGGAACATATGCTGGGGAGAGGAAGAGAAGAGGGTGTAGTGGCTGGAGGCCAGTGATTTGCTTTGATTAAACACTGCCAAAGTGTTGGTTTTTTTTTTAAAAAATAATAAACTGGAGTGGTCAGGAGGGGTCATTAAGCACCTTGAAGGGATGCCAAGGTGTGTTGTGGCACACATGGGCACTCTGTTGCCAACACCAGATCCACAACAATGTTGTCATGGAGAGCATCTTCTTTGGAGACAACTGTAAGCATCATTGTGACAGGTGTGAACATCCAGGCTGCTCTTGCTGAAGACCCTGCGGTTCCCCCAGTGGAGAACATATCATTTTACTTTTCACTTACAGTTTGTGTTGTTTCCGAATGTTATGCCTCTCCAAATGGTTCAAAAGAGCTTTCAGGGTGAAATTCAGTGTTCATTTTTGTTCTTATTATGTGCCGTCAAGTTATTCACAACTTGAGGCAACCCCATGAATGAAAACCCTCCAAAATGATCTATCCGCAACAGCCCCACTTAGCTCTTCTAATTTCAAGGTTATGGCTTCCTTTATGGATTCCACCCGTCTCATATTTGGTTTTTCCTTTTCTTCCTTTTCTTCTTCCTTTCTTCTTCCTTTTCTCCTTCTCCCTTTGACTTTCCCTAGCATGATGGTCTTCTTCAGTGAGTCTTGCCTTCTCATGCTGTGTCTGAAATATGACAGCCTCAGTTTTCTCATTTTTGCTTCTAGGGAAATCTCTGGCTTGATTTAAACTAGGACCCACTTGTTTGTCTTTCTGTTGATCCAGGGTATTTGTAAAGCTCTTCTCCAGCACCATCTCTCCCTCTCCCCGCTGCCCCGCCTCGCCTCTGTGTGTGTGTGTCTCAGTGAATAAAGCAGTCACTAAAATATAACATATTAAATTAAAGCTATACTTCAAGGCAGGAAAATAGTTTGTAAAAATCTACGACAGCAACACAATATTCCCAATAAAAACTTTGGATACAGTCTGGAGCAAAAACATTTGTAGGAGCCTAATAATACGGCTTTCTAAGCACCAGTACAGAATAAGCCTGCTGAGCTATTCTGAAGAAGAGGATCCATTGCAAAGGTGCTACCATCTTGCCCGCCTGATTTTGGATAACACAGGAGTTTGAATAGGATTCTTTTGATGACCTCAGCACCTGGGCAGGAGCATTTGGGAGGAAGAACTCCATAAGAGGTAGCAGATCACTCTCTGAGGGGCAGCCTTTATATTTGGGACTGTTTGATTGATCAAAGATGGCTTGTTTATTACACTTACTACGAGAATTTAAGTGAGCTAGGATCTAAATGTTGGGTCTCTGGATTTTGCATCCATTGTGGGTGGAGGTATTGGTTTGGAGGATGCTGGCACGTTATGTTTCTTACACTTGAACTCCACTATTCCTCCAGAGAATACATTGGGGCTTATATATGATTCCCAGATGATTTCTGATTCAGGAAGTGCTCAGGCACAAACCTTTAACTTCAGGATTCGCTCTATATCATTTGCCTTCAGAGTTCAGCTTCAGTCCCATGACTGGGAGAAATACTCACTGAATTCAGTAAGCTTACTTCTGAGTAGATATGTGTAGGATTGTGATTGTGCATTTAGTCTAGTTAAATATTATTATTATTTCACTTCTATACTGCCCCATAGCCCAAAAGCTTTCTGAGCAGTTTACAAGCTAAGAAGCATATACGTAAGCAATAAATAACCATATTTCAATATGCAATCCTATGTGTAATTACCTTGGACTACTTTTCAGTAGACACCTTATGTATTGGCCTGTAGTATTAATGCATATTTTGAGAGAGTATATACATTTAAACATGTTCTTGGGAGTGAAACATATTTTTAGACACATTTTTAAATAACACAGCTTATTGTGGAAATAGAGTAAAACATTAGAACCTTAACTTTTTGAGGTTTAAAATAGATCTTCAATACCATTCTGTTTGTCTTGAATTGGAGAGAAAGAGTACTCCTGAGATGAGATAGTATTGTTAATGTTGACCAGGATTTTAAAGCTAATTGCAGGTGTCTAAAGATGGATTCTGGGAAATGAGCAGTCAAGTGGTTTCTTGAATTGTTTTATTTGTTTAATGCAGACTTGGGTCACTTGGTGCCAGTGTTTTCATTGGGTCAATCCTGATATTTATGAACCAGTTTTCTAGATTGCATCTATAAGTGATGTTGTGAAGCCAGTTCATTGAAAGTGTTCACCCTCTGTTGGACTTTACAGATTTTGTTGTGTTACAACCTGAATCTGAGACAGATTGAATTGGCTTCATTATGGCTTGATATATACAAGACATTCAACACTGTGGAAGTGCAATATGTCTTTAATGAGGCACAAAACCTAAGTAAAGAAAAACCAACTGACATTTGTTGGTTGCATAAGTATTTGCCATTTTGCTGAGAACTCCCCAAAGAAGCAACCCATGGACTGCAGAAGCCACATATTATAAGTAGTTGAACTGAGCCCACTTGCCACACAATCTCAAATTAAGTACACCTGTTTCTAGAAGGCCCCAAGTTTCTTGGTGAGTCTATTTAAACCAATAGCATAGTGAAGTGAAGACCAAGGAAGTTTGAAAACAACTCTGGTGTTTCTGCACAACTTTATTCCAATCAGGGTTCAGTTATTTTTTAAAAAATCCAAAACTATGAACATTCCCCAAAGATATGGCTCTATTGCACCTCTGCTTAGAGAAGGCTTTCCACCAAAACCCAGTGAACTAGTAAGAAAGGCATTAGTCAGCGAAACAACCAGCAGGCCAGTGGTAACTTTAAAGGACCAAGATGGCAGAAACTGTTCATGCTACAACTATCACCAGACACTTCACAAAGCTGAGCTTTAAGGAAGAGTGATGAGTCCATGGCTGAAAGAAGCCCAGATCAGCCCCCTTTTGGGGTTTGGGAAAAGGCAAGTAGGGAAAAACAGCAAACATATGGAAAAAGTTTCTTGTCTGTTGGGACCCAAACTGGACTTCTTAGCAGTACACGTGGCACAAACTGAGCCGGATTCGTTGTCCTGAGAAATCCTCCCCACAGTGAAGCGTGGTAGCGGCAGCATCATGCTGTGGGGAAGCTTTTCCTTGTTAGGGACACAGAAACTTACCAGGATAGAAAGCAAGATGGGTGGAGCCAGAGACAGGGCAGTTCTAGAGGAAAATGTATTTCAGTCTGCAAGAAACCTGGGGCTGGGGCAGAGGTTCGCCTTCTAGGAACCCTAAACACACAGCCACGGTAACATGGAAGTGATTTAAAAGCAGGAACCTGAATATCTTAGAATCACACAGTCAAAGCCCAGACCTGGATCTGAGCATTTGTGGCAAGACTTGAATGTTGCAGTTCATCAGTGGTCCTCATCCATCCTGCCAGAGCTGGAGCAGTTTTGCCAGGAAGACTGAGCAACCATTTCAGGATCCAGATGCACAAAGCTGATAGAAACACACCAAAGAATATGTACAGCTGAAATTGCTGCCAAAGGTGCCATCCACCAAGTCTTGACTCAGGGAGGTGAACACTTATGCAATCATCAAGTGCCCATTTGTCTTGTATTGCTTAATTTTTATGGCACAATAAAAACGGATCTTTACAGTGCTGAGTATCTTGTATACATCAAATTGTAACAATGCCAGTTAATTGCCAATTAAATTACAGGCTGTAGCATGAAAACTCATGGAAAAGGCAAGGGGCAGGTGAATCGTTCTGCAAAGCATTGTAAGGTACCCATCAGAATGTGATGTACTTTATGTATAAAATCACTGTGGTGTAAGCATCCCTGCACCTGCTTGGAGATGAGAGAGAGTTCAGTACCAAAGCATAAACTTGGCATGAAGAAACTTCCAGTTTCAGTCCCTTGTTTCTTCTTATAAGAAAAGAAAAGAAAAGGAAGCAGAATAAAAGTCAAATGGTAAGTGATGCGGGAAGCCTCTGTTCAAGTCTCCAGGGAGCCGCTGGCAGTCAGAATAGACGGTACTCAATTAGATGGACCAAAGCATCAGCGTCTGTATAAGACAGTTTCCAGTGTGCATACAGACCTAGCTCACTTGCCTACTGTGGGGATAATTGCAGTTTCTGAATTGTAGCCATGTCTTGTAGGAAAGTAGCTGATTGTGTGTCTAACATGCTTTTCTTCTGACCCCAAGCGCCACATGGTACTCTTGTATCTGCAGGCTTCCTCATTCATTCTAGCATAGCAGGCAGACTTCCTGCACCAGGGAACAGGCCGGCAGCTCTCCTCCTCCTGTTGAGATGACTAGGAAAGTCTTTAAGAGCAAGACAGCTTCCAGGGATGCCGCAAAGTGATTATGCTCCTAGAAATCAGTGGACAGAGTAGCGTGTTTTCAGCAGCACCTGTACTCTAACATGGAAATAATTTAGGGGAATTCTGCCTTCACTGCTTGTGAAGTAGGTAGTGAGGAGTTTGCTCCACAGCTTGAGAACTGTGGGGCTAGAAAACACAACAACAGGGATGCTGTTGCAGAGCAGCCCATAGCCCCTGCTCTGCATGCCGCAGGTCCCCAGCTCAGCCCCAGCGTCCCCCGTTGCTGCCCATCTGGGTCAACCCTGTGGAGTTAGATGGAACCAGGCAAGGCCGCTTCCTGTGTCCGCTCCGTTGCTGCGGCAGAGCCGCTGGGGTGCTTCGAATCCACTGCAGCACAGGCAGCAGAAGGCAGGGAGGGGGCAGCCGCTGCCTTCTGAATCATGGCTCTCTAGGCTGTATTCCCCTGAGTGATTTCCAGGGATGGCACAAATGTGTCACAGCAGGAGAGAGTGACAGGGCCTCTAGTGCCCAAACCTTTGCGCAGACGTAGGGGATATGTGACACTTCCTAGCCCCAGCAACCTCTTTCCTGGTGGGCTGATTTTGAGGGGTAAATCAGGATGGGTTGGATTACTACCCCAGTTTGGTCATGCTCAGCAACCTGCGAAAGAAATGGCTGCCAGTCAGTTTATGGGGTGGGGTGCTCAGAAGGTAGAGAAGATTAAAAGGAAGCCTAGACTCAGAAATTTGCAAAGCACGGCGTTTAGCCCCTCAGCATGGCTCAGTGCAATGACACACCTGCACCCACAGCTCTCTCTCTCGCTGTGCTTTACAGGGGTAGGAGCACGTGAAGGCTAGGAGGAAGGTGGGCACGTGCCGTTGGCAACCTAGCACTTAGAAGAGGCCAGCTGTGCTGGTGTTGCTGGCTGGCTGAAATTTAAAAGACTGAATTGGCACGTTGGTTAATGTATTGGAAAATACCTTTGAAACCTAAAGGTCCATATTAGCAGGAATGCTAATTTGCAAGGGGAGGTGGGGGAATGGAAAATACAAGCTACCTAGCTGCAAGCAGAGTAGCCCCCTTGCATCAACTGTTTGCTCATCTCTTCACTGTTTAGGGTGAAGCAATGTAAAGACTATTATGAAATTCTTGGTGTGAGCAGAGATGCCTCTGATGAAGACTTGAAGAAGGCATACCGGAAATTAGCACTGAAATTTCACCCTGATAAGAATCATGCACCGGGTGCAACAGAGGCCTTTAAAGGTAAAGTAGGTTTTGCTTCATGAGCTAATTCATTTTGCCATGAAATTGGTGGTTTGTGTAGTAGAAGTTAACTGATGAGGGTTAGGTTTGGTGTGTGCATGTATGTGTGTTATATTTAAGTATTGGAGAAGGGGTGGGGTGGGATGGGATATGTATCCTCTGCCATTGCAGATGCTTTAGAAATCCAATAATATATATTAAAAAGGCTGCTTTATTTGTCTCATACATGATATGATTTAGAGACTTTTCCACCACATATTGAAGCTGCATATATGGAATAGAACAGCAGCATGAGAACTTCACAACAAGCTAGTGGCTCAAGTGCATTTCTTAGCTAAAGGAAAATAAAGCTCCAGCATAGTTCTGTGCTCAGAGTGGAATGCTGATTCCGCAAATATTTTGAGAGGTGGCTTGAGCCAAATTCGTTCTGAATTGTGTGTGCAGACCTGGTTTACATATTAAACAGTTCTTGGGTTGGCCTGTATGAGCACGGAAGGATGGAGCATGCCTCCTCGTTAACTGACCTTTCTTGTGTTAAACCGTTTCTGCGTGTGAATGTAAATGATCAATGATGTGAGCGATCCGAAATTCCAGTGAGGGCAGCTGAGAAGCCGGTCCATTTTGCAGCCTCCCCTATTCTAATGGCAGCGAGAAGTCCACAAGTGGGGAAGCAGGTTCGCTGCTGAAGAGCTCTTCGTTGCAGAGACAAAACTTTCTACCGTTGTCATTCCTCCATTGCTATTTCAGCAGTGTTAGAGCATTTTTAGGGACATGTCCAGGTGGAAAGGCGTGGATCCAAAGCCCTCCTGTTCCCTTAACAAAGCCGTGTCAAGGGAGAAAAACGACCTCAAGCTTGTAGCCGTCATGATTATTTTTTACTCCCACTGACACCACTAGGAAGGAGGAGAGAGAAGAAGAAAGGACAACCAATGGGATGTACTCTCCCACTCCTGGTTTTTACACCATGCGTTGCCATTTTATATGCACCCTGTTATTGACCATAATCCTAAACACATTTACTAGGGAATAAGACTCAGTGAACATAGAAATCATTTCATAAACCAAATGCTACAAGTCCCACTGATTTCAGAAGGAAAGAGTTGAGCTTGTGCCTGCATTTTAAGAATGTGAGACTAGCTCTCTATGCTCTTAACTGCTTCTTACTACTATGAACTGTGTTCAGGAAGCATTATAGGAGCTAGTTTTCAAACACAGCCTTAGAAATGAATGCTTCTATTTTTTTAGAAACTAAGAAAAAAAAAAGAAAAATCACCGTAATTTTTAGAATTGAACTGAAACAGTATCAATTATTTCGTGGTCATAACAGTGAAGGATGTGTCACCTGGAAAACTGTCAATTTTTCAAAGTTAGGTATTAGAGGGCATTTTAGGTTTTAAAATACAATAAACTCTGCAATGGGATCTGTTTATGCCCTTTTGGGTCCTAAATCTAGGCCTGTTTCAGCTGACAGTAAAAGGATCTGATGGCGAATATGTTGGGATTAGATTAGGCACAATCCCACCTCAGCCTTTCCTTTCCCAGCAGAAAACACTGCAGAAAAAGGAAAAGGCCCAGTCTTTGGGGCTCTGCCCAGAAGGCAAACCCGGTATGGCGCAGCTTCCAGCTTGCTTCTATTGAGCTGCCTCTCCCTTCCCTGGACTCGTTGGCCAAGGAGGAGGTGGGAAATCAGCAGGGAGAGCAGAGCTGGCCCCCACGCTGCTCTGTGGCAAGCCGGATGTGGCTGTCATGGACATGCACAACAATGGCTCTTTCCCAGACTAGCAGGAAATGCTGGTGGACCAGTGCTGGTCCATGGACTGGCAGCTGAAAACCATTGGTCTAGACATCCAACTCTTTTCTGGCAGAAACCTTCCTTCAGTCAAGAGTTCTTCAAAGTGGCAAAAAGCAGGTTTCTAACTTACAGATTTTATATTGTCGTATTTGCTGAAGGCATTACTAGAGCCACAGATCACAATGATGGGGCATGAAGCAAAACAACCCTTTATCCTTAACAGGGCCCACTCTGGGAAGTCATTTTTCCAAGCCATTTTGCCTATCTCTTTCCCTTTCCCATATTCACACCCACTTGCCTGCTCAAGTTGATCACGTTGGCTTAGGAGAGTTAAGAGTCATGCAAGTTTTCACAGAATGTTTAGTAATATTCTGTTACTGACATCAACTAATACTGTAGCATTCAATTTTCCAGTGACAGCTGCTAAGTCTGACATTTTTGTCTTCAGACCTTGTTTCAATAAATCACATTTTTTGCCTTCCTTGGAATAAGCTTGTAAGAACACAAGGCTGGCTTTGCTGGATCAGAAAGCAGAGCCACTAATTCTTCTATCCTTAATTCTATTTAAATATAATCAATATAATATAAATTATAATTCCATTTATAATTATTCTCTCCTTGACCAACAACATTAAGCATATAGCTAATTTTGGTTGAGATTGCAAATCAGCCTTTGGGGCTTCATTGATTTCAAAATGTTAGTGTGACCTTTTCTGAAGGCATGGGTCTCAGTTCACATATGGAAGCCCCCTTCCCAGTCAAAATCTAATCCCTATTGAAAAGCAGACAAAATTAAATGTCTTACAGCCCTTCCAAAAGCTTTCAGAATCAGATGTGAAGCTAGTACAGTTTACTTTAAAAATAGCTAAGAATTCTTCATCGGTATGTAATTCCTGTGTTTTTCACCTTACTTACAAAGTTTGTGTGCATATCACATTGCAAATTTGCACTTTTACAGTTCGGTTTCATTATACAATTGTTGGATTGTCAGTGGTTTGCCTAGAAATTAGCCTTGAAATTGTAAATCAGTCCTCAATATCTAAGAATTACAGAGTCAAGGATAGTTTCCTGTAGTTATTTTATTTATTTAGCAGGCTTCTATGCCACCGCATTCTCCGAAGCCTCGGGGTAGCTCACAATAATAAATAAGGACAGAATAAAACAATGTAATATGAGTCGACCTGGCCCGAAAAGATAAATAAATAATATTAACAATTAAAATAGCGTTTGAATAAAAAGGTCTTCACCTGGCGCCGAAAAATGAATAACGACGGCGCCAGGCGGACCTTTCTGGGGAGCGCATTCCATAGATTAGAAATTAGTTAGAAAGAATGAAGAGAAATAAAGACATCAGACAGAAATAAAACAAAAGAAATAGAGTTCATAAAAGTCAATCAAATTGAAACGAAGGTAGTTACCTTGACCTGGTTTTAGTATTTTTCCATAATTCCAGGATCTTGCATGCCCTAGACCAGTGGTGGCAAGCCTGTGGCACGCGTGCCACAGCAGGCCCGCAGAGCCCTCTCTCTAAGCACGCGAGCCGGGTCGCCCCAGCATCGCCCCAGCAGCCGTGCATCGGATAACAGTGCACAGAGGGGCCATGCGCATGCTTGGAAAGGAGTAGTGGTGCCAGGAGATGATGTCACCAGCCGTGACTCATTAGCTGCAACTCATCCGAGCTTTTGCATGGCCGGACAGTGCAATGCCAAGGATATACTTATCCTTGTATATCCTCAATAGAAGGATATACTTATCCTTGACTGGCTGTGAGTTGTTTTTTCTAAACTAAAACCTCAGTTTTCAGGTTTTATTACATGTTGGCACTTTGCGATAAATAAGTGGGTTTTGCGTTGCAGTTTGGGCACTTGGTCTCTAAAAGGTACAGCATCACTGGGTTAGTGTTAGAAAAATGAGGTGTCCTGACATGATTTTGATGTTTGGAATGTGTTTAGAATGGGCAGAAATGATGAGCAGTTCAGAAAAAGCTACTCCAGGAGGGCTTTTTCAAAATCACCCTTTTTTCAATGGAACTTTTGCCCTATATTAGGGTTAGGGGTGTCCACCAGTGTTGGGTTTGGATTACAAAAACGAGGTGTCCTGGCATGGTTGGCATGTGTTTAGAATGTGCAGAAATGATGAGCAGTGCAGAAAGAGCAACTCAAGGAGGGCTTTTTCAAAATTGCCTCTTTTAAATGGAACGTTCGCCCTATATTATAGTTAGGGTTGTACACCAGGGTAGAGTTGGGGTTACGAAAACAAGGTGTCTTGGCATGGTTCTGATGGTTGGAATGTTTTTAGACTGGGCAGAAATGATGAGCAGAGCAGAAAAAGCAACTTACATAAGGAGGGCTTTTTCAAAATCGCCCTCTTTTCAGTGGAACTTTCGCCCTATATTAGGGTTAGGGGTGTGCACCAGGGTAGGGTTAGGGTTAGAAAAACGAGGTGTCCTGACTTGGTTCTGATGGTTGGAATGTATTTTGAATGTGTAGAAATGATGAGCTGTGGGACTTCAGGTTGACGTTGCAGTGAGACAGCTGTGGAGAATGGGGCCTCATTCTTCACTTCAAAATCCATTCTTCAGGGGGCCCAGGGGGGCCCATCCAAGCCCTGTAGGGGCAGGGATTAGAAGCATGAGTGTACTTGTGCCTGGTGGGTGGCAGCGGATGGTTCCTCATCCGACGGGAGGAATTCAGGGGAATTTTCAGTGAACTGACAGAGAATGGTTAATTTCCTTCACAAGCTGTTGACAGCCAGATTAATAGGGAAGAAAACAAAAAGAAGCTTACGAGTGGACATCAGACCTGCTGGGTGAGCAATTAAACCTTTTAAAATACTGTCCATGAAAGAACTTGTGAGATAACCATCAATCTGAATAATAAAAGAAAGGCCCTTTGGCGGTGGAGTTCAAGCTGCCACAAATATAGGGGAGATTAAGTGAAACTGGGGAAGTTTGGGACTTGCAAGAGAAGAGATCTTTTCTATGTTTAATCTCCTCCCCAAGGGTGAAGAGCTAAATTTGAACTTATGTTATATTAATTGGTAGAAGACGCTCTCTTTTTTTTTTTCATTTGGAGACATGGCGGATTCCTCCAGTTTCTGTATGGTTGAACAAATAACTTGTTGGCTGCCATCCTGTGGTCATTTTATTCTTTAACAGATACATTCTTTGCCAAAAAAATATTAATATTTTTCTCTTTTTGTGATTTTTTGTTGCTATTTAGTGGCTATCTAGTACCACAACAGGTTATTTAAAAAACTGTCTTAATTAAACCTTTTACTTTCATCATGGATTCTTCTTTGGCATCTCCGTCTGCTTCTCAAAGCTTACAAACAACACTCTTGGCAATACAAGCATCTTTAACATCTATTCAAGCATCTCAAGAGCCTATGCAAAACGCTATACAAGAATTTGCTTTGGAACAAAAGGATAAATTGGACAAATTGGACAGCTATGTCTTGAAGATAATGAATCATCTTGCAGGTTCTGCTATTAAAATAAAACAAAATGAACAAAAGATACAAGTTGTGAAAAAGAAGGCTGAAAAAATTGAAAAGATGGTTCAAGAGAAACAACAATTAACAGAAACAAATAAGTTATTATGGGATTCAGTTGCCACATTGGAGAGATTTCAGAATGCACTAGAAGTTAGAAATGAAAACCTAAGTGGTTTAATAAAAACTATGCTAACATGTTCCTGTTTTGGAAAAGGAAAAGACTGATAAACAGTCTGATCTGGACTATAGAGTTAACCCAAGCTATATTAGAAGTCATAAATTTCTGTGGGAGAATGGATAATTTTAAGGGAATTATATATCTTGAAGGATATGTTTTATAAATGGGATGGCATGTTTATAGGTGATAAGGGTAATGATATTTCTTGGTGGCATAAAGTTCAAATATGATTGAGATATGTGAAGTCTATAGAATATATGATCTTATAAAGGAATTAGTAACATTTGATCAAATAATTTTAAAACTGGATGAAGGTGATTAGATTGTATAACTTTTTTTGGGTAGAAAATGAAAGATGAACGAATTAAGGAAATCATGATAATACAGGCACAAAATGTTGGACATAACATTGAGCTATAGAAACAGTAAAAGTGAGAAAGAAATATCAAGGTAACTTGAGTAATTTCACATAAAGAAAACTTACACAAATGTTTTATAGTTAGATAGATAGATAGATAGATGTAAATGACTTACAGATTTAGTAGAAGTTTAGTAGAAATGCTTTTAAACTTGTCAATTAGATGTTGGAAATATAAACACAAATTGAAATCTGAAGGCTTTTCTCTTTTTTATTAGATATTATTCTTAATGATATTGATAAATATATTTGATCTTATATGTAATTACTATGGCAAGGATTCTATTTGCTCACTATGGGAGGAGTGAAGAGCCATGCATCGAAGAGTTGAGCTCAAAAAGGATTTTGGACTACATGGTGGGACAGATCGATCTTGTCTCTGAAGGAGAAGGGGGATGTATATCTCTGCCAAACTTGGAATTCGTTCTGTTACCAGCTAGAGAAGCGGGACTATGCATAAATTTGAATATGACTATTGACTGTTAAAATGAGGAAGATATTAACCCAATATATCCAATGTCTTAAATAATCTTTGTTTTTAAAGTCAGATTGTATTTAAATCTATTAAAAAGAAAGAAACGATGAGCTGTGCAGAAAAAGCTACTCAAGGAGGACTTTTTCAATATCGCCCCCTTTGCAATGGAACTTTTGCCCTGTATGAGTGTTAGGGGTGTGCACCAGGGTAGGGTTAGGGTTAGAAAAAGGAGGTCTTCTTGCATTGTTTTGATTGTTGGAATGTGTTTAGAATGGGCAGTAATGATGAGCAGTCAGAAAAAGCTACTCAAGGTGGGCTTTTTCAAAATCACCCTTTTTTCAATGGAATTTTTCCCCTATATTAGGGTTAGGGGTGTGTACGAGGGTAGGGTTAGGGTTAGAAAAATGAGGTTTCCTGGTAAGATTTTGATGGTTGGAATGTGTGTTAGAATGGGCAGAAATATTGAGCTGTGCAGAAAGAGCTATTCAAGGAAGGCTTTTCAAAGTCTCCCTCTTTTCAATGGAACTTTCACCCTATGTTAGGGTTTGGGGTGTGCACCAGGGTAGTTTTAGGGTTAGAAAAACGTGGTGTCCTGGCATGGTTTTGATGGTTGGAATGTTTTTAGAATGGGCAGAAAGTATGAGCAATGTAGAAAAAGCTACTCAAGGAAGACTTTTTCAAAATTGTCCTATTTTCAATGGAACTTTAACTCATATTAGGGTTAGTGGTGTGCACCAGGGTAAGGTTAGGCTAGTGGCGACGAAACCTATGGCTCATGTGCCACAGCAGACATGCAGAACCCTTTCTGTCGGCATGTGAGCCAAGTTGCCCCAGCATCGCCCCAGCAGCCGTGCATCGGATAACATTGCACATAGTGGCCATGTGCATGCTCGGAAAGGAGCAGTGGTGCCAGGTGATGACATCACGAGCCGCGACGCATTAGCTGGGTCTCATCCGAGCTTTCTCAGGGCTAGTCATTGCATTGTCATACATATATATATGTTTGGACTGGGTGTCCTGTGTTTTTTCTAAACGAAACCCTCAGTTTTCAGGTTTTATTGTAGTGTTGGCACTTCATAATAAATGAGTGGGTTTTTGGTTGCAGTTTGGGCATTTGGTCCCAAAAAGGTTCGCCCGCACTATTTATTTATTTATTTATTTAAAACTTTTATATGCCGTCACCACATGCTTCGGCATCTCAGGACAGCACACAACACATACATTTAAAAACAATAAAACAATAGCAAATTCCATAAAATATTATATAAAAACAAAAACAAAAACGCGACTGTTAACCATAAAATATTAGTTTTTAAAATAGCAAATAAAAAGGTTTTAACCTGGTGCCAAAAAGAATACAAACTCAACCCCAGGCTCACCTGTCCAGGGAGCGCATTCCATAGTCTGGGTGCCACCGCAGAGAAGGCCCTGCTCCGGGTAGTTGTTCTTTTTGTCTCCTTTAAAGAGGGCTCCCGGAGGTGAGCCTCTCCCATGTATCTTAAGGGGCATGAGGGCATGTAAGGGAAGAGGCGCTCCTTCAGGTATCCTGGTCCCGAGCCATTCATGGCTTTATAGATTAAAACCAGCACCTTGAATTAGGCCCGGACTTCAACAGGAAGCCAGTGTAGCTGGTAGAGCACCGGCATTATAACGACCGGTCCTGTCAGCAACCTGGCAGCTCTGGTCTGTACCAGCTGAAGAATTTGGACAGTTTTCAAGGGCAGCCCCACGTAGAACGCATTACAGTAATCCAATCACTAGAACTTTATCCACCAATTATATGAGTGGTGCAAGCTCTTACACTTTTCTTTGTAACACACTTCAGTTATTTTACATTTTTAACTATTTAATATATACCTGCCAGCATGAAGGCATTTCTCTAAGGTAATTATTAAGTAACTCATCATGACTGAATGAAGTTGGTGGCTCAGCAGACAGACACTTCAGGGATGGAGAGGGAAGAAGGAGAGAAGTTATTTGTAAAAGGCCAGAATATTTAGCTAAAATAAAATGCAGTGGTTGGAGACTACCTAAGTTAGTCCCACATAGACCCCATTGAAATCGGTGTAAACGTTTTTGCCATGACTAATTAGGGCCTGTGGATTTCAGTGAGGCAGTTGGATCAAACCCAAAACCAATTATCTGAACATTATATTCGGTTAAAATCTGATTAAAATAATCTTCGAGGTATTGCCTTTTGTCTGCTTTCATTGAAAACAACTTCACATGTATAACAATAAAAAGCTGTCTTCTTCTAGTCTTCCATGCTCAACTTTTTATCTTTGGATAAGGGACAAAATGCAGAAGCAACAGGCTCATATGTTTTATTAGTAGCAGAACTACCAGTTCAGACAGCTGATCAAGATCAAGGGTATGAATTTCCCCCTCGTGTACAAAATAGTCAGACTAATTTTCCTACGCGGTTTAAGCTTGCAAGTCAAGGATCCTGCTTTTCCTTGACGTGCGAGTTATGCACATGCAGACAGTTACTTTGTGCGAGCGCTTTTGTACATTCAGTCCCCACCTGCTATCAGACGTGCTGCAGAGAATGGCAGGGATGGAGAACTGCTTCCAGCCCAAGGACCAAATGCTACTCCAAAGAAACCTTCAGGGCGGACTTGAAGGCAAAAGAGTCAGGGATAACTTTGCCATCGTAGTTTAGCTTAAAGTTTCTACTATCAGTAACTAAGACTTTGCAGCCTTTTAAAATGGGGAGAAGGTTGCACAAAAGGTATGTAATCAGCAGATGACTGATAGATGGGGAAAGGGGGTAGAGCCTTCTAGAGCACCACAAAATTTGGTCTGGAAGAGGCTCAGATTTGGCCCCCAGGCCTGAAATTCTACACCCTGGGGCTACAGTTACCTAAGCCAAAAGCAGTAATGCTCAGTAACTGGTCATAATAAAAACAATGCATAGACTGTATGGATAACATGTCAAAGAGTTTGGCTGAAGGCCCTGTCTATTGCACCAGAAGACACACAACAAGCCTCCAAATCAGATTCTAAGATTATGGCAAGGCTCTCATGGGTGGCTGGCATTTTCCCAAAGACTATGAACAGGTTAGATAAGGATAGAAAAGCTGCTCTAATTATTCAGTATCCAAGGAACATTTTCCTACAGCTCAAGGCATTTCATATTGATTATGTCAGCAATCTTTCCAGCAACCTTGTAGGGTAGGTCTGCAGCAACGTCCCCATACTTCAGATAAGGGTCAGAGGTTCAAAGTGATTGTGTTGTCCAAGACGGGGTGAGTGGGCGTCCAGGGCATAAAATGAACTGTGGACTTCTCAGTTTGCTTCTTGGCCACTACCTGTCATTAGCCAAGAGAATGTGACCACGTTCTTCTTTCTTATGTTTTAGCCATTGGTAATGCATATGCAGTATTGAGTAACCCCGAGAAGAGGAAGCAGTATGACCAGTTTGGAGATGCAAAAGTCAGTCCCACACGACATGGCCATGGCCCAACAGACTTCAACCGAGGGTTTGAGGCAGACATCTCTCCTGAAGATCTCTTCAATATGTTCTTCGGTGGTGGTTTTCCTTCTAGTAAGCCTATGATTTTAAATATGGTTGGGCTGGAGGGAGGGCATACAAGTGACAGAGTGCCACTCAGCTGACTCCCCTCTTAGTTCTTGTACCAGAACAGAAGAATGTCCTCAATAAGCCATGCTTGTCCTCTTTGTGTCACCTAGTTGGCCATTGCTGATTGAAACACCTAAGCTCCCAAAGCTGTGAAATGTGCTCTTGGATTCCATATGGTAGACAAACAGCCAGACTTTCTAACCAACCGTGTTCTTGGAGAGAAGCATCTCTGGAACCTTTGGTAGCTAGCCTTGATTTTGACAGCCAATTTGGAAAGCAGTTGCTGTTTTATGGAAGCTTCCTTCTCCTCCTGTCCAACCTTGCAGGGAAATTAAGATCATTCTGATCCAATAAACCTGCCACATCTCCTTACAAGTGACCTGACCAGAAGTAGCTCCAGCCTAGCCCCACAGCAGTTCCAGATCTGTTCTTTGCAACTGAGAAATGGAGACTTTGAATTAAAAAAGATTCCCACCAGGCCAGCTGAGTGCTCGAAATTGGCTTGCTTCCCCCAACATTTAGTCCAACCTGTATTGAACTACAGATCCCAGAATCCCTCAGCAAGCTGTAGGCCCAACACATTGGAGAACAGGCTTTCCTTCCCTTGCGTTATATGGGAAGATCAGTTCCTGTCTACCAGACAGTGCATCAGTCCAGCAGACTGGAGGTGCTACTGGCTTCTGTTCTTGTTCTGCGGAGCTTCTGAAAGGCTCAGTGACTCTCTCTGGACGGTAGTCAGTCATCAACAGACTTGGAACCCAAGAAAGTCTTTTTCTTAGTGTCAAACATGCTAGGGGTCTGGAGAAGTGGCAGTGAAGGGTAGAGCTTGTCTTCCCTGCAACGTGTGGCTTGACTCTCTCATTGGAGTCCTATGGAACTGGTTGCTGCTCAGGTCCCTGTTTTGCAGCGCATGTGAGTTCTGTTTGTGGCACAGAAAGTTGGCTCTGTTTGAGAACTTGGCTGGTTGCTTCTGCCTTTGCAGCTGGGGCTGTGAGCTAGAAATGAAGGGGTCTGGCTGGGAGAATGAGATTGGAAGGATTCAGCTGGCAGCCCTTACACACCACAGTTGAGTTGCCCACTTCCACAAAGGAATTCAGTGTCTCTGCTGCCAGCCAGTAGGAACTGATCTGATCTGCTTCTTTGAGCTCAGTCTGTGGAGGGTGGCAGGTTACAGGAAATTGCTAGCTCAGTATCCAAACCTGGAGCCCCTCCAGAGTTTTGGTCTGCATCTTGCTTCATCCCTGACTGTGCTGGGTAGGGAGTTGTAGGCTAAAATGTTTGAAGGACCACAAGTTGCCCATTCCTAAGCCGATGCTAAAGAGTTTTGTTGTGCCTAGTTCACACAAGTAATGGGCGAGCTGGCAAGAATGTTCCTGGACCGTATCATGCCTAATTGCAGGTGGGAGCATGTGGAATATTCCTACCTATAAAAAGTTCCCTGCATAGCGGGGACAGGTGTTTTCTGGTATGCTCCCTACAGTCTGCTGCCTTCTATTCTGAAGTGATCAAGACTCGAACTCACACCAATATCATGCAACTAGGTGCATGCCACTCTTTGGCAGAAGACTTGCCCAAAGAGGTGCACCATAATGCGATGACTCGCAGGAACGGAGCTCCAGTCAGACCGCCTTCACATCTCCATGTTCCTAGCCATTGAGGACTTGTGATTTTTACTGGCCACTTGGATGGCGCTTGCGATCAGGTGAAGCGTGCTGCTGAATCAGACCTCTGCAGCCTCCTTGCTCTGAATGGAATGCTTTGCATGCCACAGTTGGGGGCCTTGCAGCCGCAGGGATTGGATGGAACGATATCTCTCCACTAATTAAAAAATAACAGCTGCCAGTGCTGTGTGTCGCCTGAACAGTGACCTAACAGCTCTGTGCTCTGGTCTTTTCAAGCATGGAAGCTTACACTGTTGCATTTTATCCTAAAAGCAGAAAATTCCAGGCCTTTGCACAAGCTATTAGTTTTGAAGCCGTTTGCTGCTTAACTGATGCACATGTACTTGAAGGAGCCTGCGTGGTGGGCACACCCACTGCGTGCCTTGGCAGATTCCCATGGCATGAAGAAGGATGCCACTCACACTACAGCCTAGCTGAACGTGCAAATGTCAGAGCTAACTTTAAGAAACAACATTTTAAAGCCCTAGTTTCTACAGTTGTAGCATTAGGGCAGTTATCAACATTATATCTTGGAGAAAAGCAAACACTGTGTCTGCTGCTTCTTCCCCAAAATTGCAAGGCAGATGCACAACAGAAGTACTTGTTGAGCAGGAGCTTAGGACCCAAAGCAGAGAAGCACACGACCAGTTTTCAGAGCGTCCAGAAACACGTACAAATGGGTGGTCTCCACCTTTCTGGTGCATTTTAAGCATTTGTGCAACCAAAAGAGCCGGAGGCCCAAAAGCATTGTGTGCTGCCTGCTGCACTGCTAGCTGGCTTGGGTTTCGAAGGCTCTAGGGAAACCAAAACTAGGGACCAAAGGGGTGCACGTGCTATTTAATCTCTGGCTTCCCAGAACTTTGAGCTCTCTAACCTATTGATAACTTTTTGTGTAGTCTTCCACTGGCATTTTCCAGCCCAGCCATTTGAAAGCACTAAATGTCCATTAAAATTGGAAAGCCTCCATAGTAACAGATGTGCAACAAATTCCTAAGCACCCCGTCTGGAAGGTTGGCAGCAGTGGGGTGGGGGGAGAGTTCAAGGAGCGGGGATGTCCCACCCCATCTGTAGTGTCCTTGTCTACGCCCGTCTGGGAATCCCCCAGCCTTTCCTACATTCCTGGGGCATGACATCTTTCTGGCCTGCTGGTGTGTCACTGCTGCCAGGTTCCGACAACTCCCAGAAGAGCATGTGGTGAACAGGGCAGAGAGCATCAGGAGTGAGGGGAAGAGGTGAAAGGGAGGCAGTGAGTCTGTGGGGCTTTTGAGAGCTGAGGACGGGGTCTGGGGAAGAGGTGGGGGGCTGTACTTATCTGAGTCTCCCTGGCAGCCCCCACCCTTAATAGAGAGCCCAGAGGAAGAAGAAACTGGGAAAGCAGCGTCTCTGCCCGCAACAGGAAGCCTCCGAGAGTTGTGGAGTCTGCCTGCAGGGAGCACCGGGGAGAGCCACGTGAGATGAACCTGCTGGGGACCGGCACCCTTTGGCTAAGGGAGCGGGGTGGCCAGAGAGCAACTGCCTGTGCGTGCTTGTGTCCAGGACGTGGAGTGGGGCAGGTGGGCGGGAGAAGGCTCTCGGAGTCGCCAGGACCAAGGACCTCAAGCGATTTTGACTTGAAAGCTAAACCATATTGTGTTCTTCTTAATCGTGGTTTGAACGGCATCTGTATTAATCACCCGGGTTGTCTCTTAAACAATTTTATATGGGATCTTGTAGGAAATCCTTAACATTTCAGTCTCTGTTCATGCATATTCCCAGTGACACACCAACTGGTTCTTTGTCAGTGGATTAAAACCCAGTTCCTAAACATCTTGCATAAAAGTGGTTTTGGTGGAACTTGACATCCATTCCTTGTGCTCAGGATCTGACTTGGGTTAAAATTCAAATTGGCCAGCTGAGCTCATTTTCCTATCCCAGCCTTTTGAATAAACGTATCATCTCTCCCATTGTAGATTTTATTTCCTCTTTAGGGCCTCGATTTTAAGTGCAGTTGACAGCACCTGGTTAAACTCCATTCCAAGAGTAGAATATTCTGGATTGTGCTGCCTTATCCCATCTCAGCTAACTCAGTGTTTTTGACCATTCCTAATGAGCCTCTTTTACCTGCAGGTAACGTTCATGTATACAGCAATGGCAGGATGCGATATACCTACCACCAGAGGCAAGATCGGCGAGAACATCAAGGAGATGTAAGTTGTAAGATATAAGAAAGAAGAGAAAGCAAAGCAAAGCAAAGCACACTTGTCTCAGTAAAATCATCTTCTATTATATTCCTCTGTACTTAGTGACCAGTCCATTTTTCATTTTCTGGACCAGAGTTGCAGCAAGATGCTGTCTTTTTGCTTTTAAACTGACTGGCTTTTAAGAATGTACCCTCTGCCCCAGGGGTTGCGTTGCCACATAGGTATGAGCAAGTATTTGTCTTTACTTGCAAGAAGTGCCATTATGATTATTACCAAGTGCACTGCACTCAATAACTATTTAAATATGGTTTGAAGATGGCCCGTACCTTGTTACTAAAACCTTGAATCTGGATCTTTTACCAGCACATTCAATGCATTAAATGGCACAGCAGAAGCCATTTTACCTTCTGCATCCATCACTCCATTATCTAATGATCCGAAGCAGGATGCCTCCAGGCCCAAGCCTCTCCAGCCTTGACTCATCAGGGGCACATCTGCTCTCGCCTATGGCGTGATACTGGCCTGTCTCTTTGGGCATCAGTTTTCAAATGTCATACTCCTACCCAGCACACTTCATGCCAGCCTTCCTCAAAGTGGGGCCTTCTAGAGGCACTGGACCCGTAGCTCCCATAAGCCCCTCACATGTAGCTCCCATAAGCCCCTCATAGCTCCCATAAGCCCCTCACATGTTCGGCGAACACCAGGCTAAGGAAAGCTGTGTTGTGTTTGCAAATGTCCTCTTGCGCCTCTGCTACCTGAACGCAGTATCTCAGGCCAGAGGGCTTTGGGGTAAGCATTAGGGGCAATAAAAGAATCCACCAGCTGTTTAGGCTTCTTGGTCCAGTTCCTCAGCTGCTCTGAAATCAGAGCTCTAAATCAGGTGTTCTGACCTTCTTTCAGGTCAGGGAGAGGGGGAAAGTCTAATGGTGGACATGGTCAGAATCCCCCCAGTCAGCATGTTTTAGCTTGAACTCTTAATTCAGCTTTAGGAGATGCATTTTAACCATCTGTAGTGGGGAAAAGACAGCACACAGGTAGGAAACTACCACGTGAACAGTGGTCTAGGTTATTATCCTGCTCTTGCCTGACCAAAGGAGGCATTTTTGTTTCATAGAAACAATACTGCAGCTTTGCCGCCTCACTACCCTAAAGAGCTGAGCCCATAAATCTGGTCTGGGCTCCCTTGCTTGGCAGTGGGGACTGCTAATGTTGATGCCAGCCTCAATTAAATTGCCAGGTAACTCAGCGCCTTCATCTGCCCTGGGTGGATGCGTACCCTTTCTTCCAGGCCACATGCTGCCATTACATTGGCTTCCAGCTCAAGGCTGTATTACTTGCTTAAGATACTGTGCATGTGCACATGAATACTGCTAGAGGAAACGCTCGCTCTCTCACACACACACGCGCGCGCGCACACACACACACACACACACACACACACACAACCATGGTACAGTTTGATGTATAGTTCATGTATGCTGACTCCTTTTTATAATTGCATGCACACGTCTACATGCAGTGCTAGAAGAAACAAGGCAAAGTGGGCCATCAGGAGCAGGGGAAAAGGACAAGGGCACTGAGAAGGGGAAGTGAAGGCACACACATTAGAAGGATGCTGTCTGGGCCACAGGCCACCCACTGAAGGAGAGGAACCTGACATTTGTGGCTGATGACTGCATTGCTTGGTCCCAGTTTAAATGTCAGTTGCACTGTGAGCTGTTCATGGACAGCGAGACTTCCAGTTGGGCAAGCCAGAAACCCAGAATTGAAAATCATGGGCGTTCAACCACGTACAGCAGTGTATGTATTGGCTTCTGTCAGACTGCGCTCAAAAGACAGGGTCAAACATTTAAGAGAATCTGTTCAGTCCAGTTTTACAGGAGGCATCCCTAAAAAGTCTCAAGTCCCTTTTACAAAAGAGAGCATTACAAACTATTGCACCTGTATAGCACTACCTCAGGTAGGTTTTGGTTGGCAAACTTCTGCTTTGCTTCCACAACAGTAATGAAGCATAGCTCTGTCAATCACAAATGAATAGAAATGAAGTTGCCAGTTTACAGCTCCTGCTGATTTCCAGTTGAATCTACACATCACAGAGACCCTGTGCAAAGCAGCATTCATCACCTTCGTTATCGTATTTCCTCTGGTCTCTTTCTGTTCACTTCTGAAACAGAATTTTCATATTTCAACAGGAAATCCTGTATAGCAAAGGAGCCTAGGGTATCGCTTGCTCAAATCTCACCCCTTGTCACGAAGACTCCAAGGGTGTGGAGAACATCTCTGCTTTCTCAACCCCATCCACAGTTTGTAAAGGAATAGTGGTAAAAGCCCTATAATATTGCTGCAAAAAGTTCTCACGATTAGGGCCGGATTCACATGACGCGAGAGCCCACTGTGGCTTAATTTACCATGGGGACTCTCACAGCAAGCTGTGTGAGCCCAGATGGCAGCGGATGTTTGAGGGTGAAGAAGCCACATCATTTAAGAGCTGCCTAACCCTCATCCCCTGCCACCTTGCTTCCCACAACACGACAAGCCACTGCAAACCAAGAACCCCAGCATGATGCCACAGCCTCTGTAGGAAATGAAACCATGGTGGGGTCAAACATGCAAAGCAGGGCAAAATTTGGGTAGAGCTTTCAGCCCGCTAAAGTGCTATAATAATACTAAGCATCATTCTGACTGCAGTGGCTAATGTTTCAGTGTTCAGTTCTTCCTTTTGTCAGCGATCCAAGGCTGCAAGTTAGCGTGATCCAGGCAAGAGTGCAAAATGGCAAGCCCTTCCGTGACTGATCAATGCACTGATGACCTTCCCTTCTTTCTCCCTAGGGTGGCCTTGGGTTGTTTGTCCAGCTGATGCCTATTCTCATCCTCATCATTGTGTCTGCTCTCAGCCAGATGATGGTCTCCAGCCCGCCTTACAGCTTGAGCCACAGACCGTTAGTCCTGCCATTCGTCTACACGCTTCGCTTGGGGAGGCGTGGGTGGGAAGGGCTGGCAGTCTGGGAGGGGTCTGAAGGCAAAGGCAGGGTTGCCAGCCCCCGCTTTCTTGGCTGCATCCTTGCTCACGCGTTGCATCTCTTCCTTTCCTTACGTCCCTTGCAAGTGCGTCTGCCTCGTGCCACTGTAATGCCTGCTGGCATAAGAATGAAGTGGCCAGGCAGTCATATGGTGGAAACCTCTATGCCAGTTGTAGGACTTCAGTCAGGAGGTGGGAGAATCACTGGTTTGAAGATGTCCCATATATCATCTATAGAAACCTGACCATATCATACCTATAGGAAAAAGTTGCATGCATTGTTGACATAAAGCTGACCAAGTTCTGTAGAAGACCTGACCCTGTTGGCTATCATAAAGAAGGGTGCCGTTTCACAAAGGAACTAGTGGCCATTTGGACCCCTTACTGAATGGAATGCATTATTAGATGGATACCTTATTCCTCCCTATTTCCTTATCAGGAAGTCTTCTGTTTGGGGATTTTTCACACGTGGCTTGCATGAATTTTTGGGCAAGAGGCTTCTTGGGTTCCAACACAGTCTTCTCCTGCCCGCCCGCCCCTTCTGTGGCCCCCCAGGAGTTTCCCTGCAGTGTTGATGGGAGGCCCTGGACTCCAGAAGCCACCCATCAGAGTGGCAAATCAACAGCATGCAAAACCTGGAGCCTCTGCAATTGCAGGCTTCTTCCCTGCCCCGTGAGAGAGAGCAGGCGGCTGTCACATAACTACAACCCCGGGAGGAGGAAAACTCTCCCATTGTGCAAGAACCAATTTTACCGGCTACGTAAGGCTCAGGACTGATGAAAGTTAGAGCTGCAGGTGAGAAGTGGAAAAGTACAGACACACTATAAGGACCACACTTCTCAATGTTTAGTCCATGGACCATTTTTTCCCCTTTCTGTGCTGCCATTTTTTGTGATGGGTTGTCAAGTGGCAGCCCCACCACCCCCAGACTGGCTCACTGATCGGTGCCAGCTTCCTCCTTCCCAGCTTCCAACACCATTATCAGGATTTGCCATTTTCATTTCTCCAGCTAACTAGCAGGGACACCTGAGCCTATAAGAGGGGAGCACCTTTGGCTGGTTCTTTTCCCTTCCATTCTATATTGGATGCAGGCAAAGAAAAAGGGGAAGAGAACGCGGCCCTGCAGATGGAGAGGTGGAGAGGGGTGCTACAGTAGGGCTTGCAACTGGGAATGGCTGGCTTGTTAGTAAGAGCACTTGGCACCTACCAGACATAAGTACATACAGCGTTGGTATGTTGCATCACATTTTCAAGTCTCAAAATGCTTACCTGTAAGCAGGCAGGAGTCAAGCCCTGCTAAGGGGTTGGCCAGATGTGAGTTTCCCAAATACAGTAACATTTCAAATATCTCCAGTTCTGTATCCCCATGTGAAATCTGCCATCACCCCATTACATGAGGTGGAGAATCCTGGGACATGCCCTGTTTTTTTTAGAGGATTTTACCCTGATGAGTGGAGAGAGATGCCTGCTGTTTTGTAATGTGGCTGACTTCTAACATTGGGAGGGTAACTAGGCTCAAATTCTTGCACTCAGTCTGTTTTCTTTTAGAAATGCAGGTCTGTATGCTGCAGATAAAACCTGGAAAAAGTTTGGATGGTAGCCCGTGAACTGAACTATAAATGTTTATATTACGTTTGAAGTTCCTTAAGCTGGAGTTCACATTTGGCAGGTCTGCCAAATGCTTTCTTGAGTGGCAGATGTCCATTTGTTGCAGCATCAAACCAGAATGTTGTACTTGAAGTTCCTTAAGCTGGAGTTCACATTTTAAAATGTAAATTGCTAATTTTCTAGTCAAAATGTTCCAATTTTGGGGTGTTGAAAAGCATGATGGTATATTCTGCTGTTGGGTCTGGCACCAACATCTTGAGTTTAATCCATTTTGAAAGCTCAAAACTTCTCAGATATTGAAAATTCTGAAACGTGATATCAGTTCTAAAGCAGAGCTCCTTTGCTTATGTGTGTTCAGTTCAAGCTATTGGCAGCTCCATATGTGACCTTGCTGCTTCCCTGGTCCACTCTTATCACAGTATCTATCCATTCGATCTTCAGTAGATCTTTATCAGCTGATGGCATGTCTGTGTAATTTGAGAAAGGCTTTGTGCAAGGCTTGAGATGAACTTTTCTTATTTGTGGTGGTGCGAAATAAAGCAGTTGGAAGCTTCAGTTTTGTGCTTAAGCCAAAAACCAAACCTACAGTTATGCAAATTATGATTTTTTTATTCTTCAGATGCAAAGGAAGAGGCTGCAAGAGTATGATTGATTCTATATATATACACTTTCCCCAATTAAGATGCGTAGGAACTAGGTATAGGTAGCTTCAGACAAGCTATCATTCTCTCCACCTCACTGTTCTCATCTGTAATTTGGAAAAGATATTAGCTTGATTTTGAGGGCTATTCCAGAGATGTGTGCAAGGTGGTTTGAAAACCCAAATTGTGCCATATAAATGCCATGTATTAAAACGGTTGCTTTCTGGGAACCTTGTTAAGATAACACACTCTCCACTCTCTCTTAAGAGGCATTGAAAGCATGGAGGGTATGAAGCCTCTTGCATCCTGCTTCCTTCTAGCAAACTAGTTTGTCTTTCTCAGCCCATGAAGTCCCTAGAAAAGTCCCTGCATGCTAAGAGAGCAGCAGTCCTTGCAGACACTTACGTAGTCAATTCTCAGATCTGTAAGATGATTCCAAATTCAGCGTGGAGTAGTTTTGCTGGTGAATTGTAGGCAGGCAAAACCAGAATGGACCAAAGGCGTGGGCTGGGGGCAGTTCTGAGGGACTGTGGTTGAATTTTCCACTCATGCGTATGGACTTCCTGTATAGCTGTGGCACGGTCACGGAGGCTTCTCTGCAAGGAGATCTTCAGATTGGTGTGAATTGTTTTAATTGGCAACAGGACTGGGGGCGCCAGAATCCACAACAAATTCCAGAAACATGTGGGTGTGAGGGGAATGCCAGGAATGTAATATTTCCTTGAGTGGTAGATGCCCATTTATTGCAGCATCAAACCAAAAGCAGTTACCAACATGCCAGAGAACAGAAGTTAACTTGCAGTGCAGGCATGTCCCCGGTATGTATGGTTAACCTTCTAGATGTCGTCGGACTGCAAATCCTGTCAGCCCTGGCCAGCACAGCCAGTGGCATGGGAAGATGGGCGTTGCAGTCCAGCAACATCTGGGGGTAGCAGCTCAGTTAAGAAAAGTGTACTTTTCTTGCAGGCTCAAGTGTACTTGTTGCTGAACTTGCAAAGACCAGTATAGCAAAGGTGAGATACAGTGTTCTTTGGATAGTTAGACAGACTTGATTGTTTGCCAGAAGACGGGAAAGGGTTGCGCCCTCCTGCCCGACGTGCCCCTTTGAGATTAGGCCCTGGCATCTTGTCCTTGCTCCCTTTTTAATTAGACTGGCTGCCCCTGCCCAGCTTAGGAAGCCAGCTGCATCAATTCCACTGTTGGCGCATCACAAGCAAATTAGCTGCGTCAACCAAGTGGCAAGCATCTTGGCTGAAATCCCATCCACTGCCTAAGCGACTGAATTTAATAGAAATGCATTCTGCCAGCCTTCGTCTGTGGAGTTGTAGTGCTGGTGACGGACGAATGTACAGGAACAGCCAGCAGGGGGCAGTGGTGACACATCTCTGGCAGCTTCACACCAGACTTGGCTCCTGGGAAGATCCAGGGAGTTGAGCACATCAGCTGCCTTGGCAAAGGCAAGCATCTCGCTACTAAAAGGGCAGGAGTTCAGAAGTGATCCAAATGCTTCCGAGTGCTTGATTCAGTGTTCATTGTAAGCCGCTTCTTGTGCAAACAAGTTCTTCAGAGGAAGCAACACCCTCTTGCATATTAAACTCATCCCTTCTTAATCATGGCCGCCACCTAGTCCTTTGGGTGCAGGTGATGTTGCTTTTCATTCTTAAGTACATGACCACCTTATACGAAGGCAGGGGTGATGGCAGTTGCAGGGCAGAACACCTGGAGGGTCACGGGTTGCCATCCCTGGGCTACATTGGTCTTCTGATGCAAGGCCAAATAATGGATGCTTTTACCCCGAAGAAAGCAGTCAGTTAGAAAGCTTGCTTTTTCTTCTAAAGATGAAGGGTTCAAATTCCTTTGCTAGATATTTCCTTAAGAAATATTGGTTCCTATGAATTTCATCACAAGCAGAAAAAAACTTCTCACACTATAACTGATATGCAAAAAGGATTTAAATACAGCGGTGTTTGCTTTGTTTTTAAAAGATGAACACTGACAGCCTGTTTGAGGTAATGCACAGTTGAGATGCTCTATCCTAACCAGGGTACAGGTCTGGGAGCACATGATTTCAGCTCCTTTTTTAGTTCGAGGGATCTCTGCCAGATAAGTGAGAGCCTGGATGGGAGGCTGCATAGTGAGACCCATTATGCAGGCCACTTTGAGCTTCTTGAAAGTATGGCAGGGTAGACATAATGTCAATAAAAGCTTACAGAAGGCAGTAAGTACTGGGATGAATGAGGGAGCAGATGGAACAGAGAAAAGTGATTTGTCCCTCTGTCTCATTTATGTCTCTCCAGCCCCTTTCATCCATAGGTATTATCTTGTTTGTTAGCTTTGTTCTGCTAACAGTGAAGGCTAGATAATAGCTCTTTTAAAATGATTTCTGGGAGTGGGACAGCTAGAACCAGGAAGCTGTGCTTGCAGCCATTCACCAAACCATCGTTTCTGGTTTGAGTATCATTCCTTCTGAACAGACAAATTCATACTTACAGTCATGGAGTTCCCATGTCCAAACCTGGAGAAACGTAAGACAAAGAGAACAAAGTTAGCACAGAGAACAATTATAATATTATAAAGGTTTGTATTCCTACACACCAAAGAATGAGCATACACAATATAGGTATAGTTTTATCAGAAGAGGTTTTTTTTCTGATCCCATGTTCAGGAAGGGCAAAAAACATACTTCTGATTAAACTCTGTGGTGGGAAACTTAGCTAAGGGTTACATGGAGGCTTTTATATAGTCTGGGAAATTGACTGTTAGAGAATATTTTCAGGCAAGAGAAGAGCAGAGGCCTAATCTGATGTCCTGCAGTGGATTGTTGCTCTTTCCAGATGAATAATGGGACCAAGGTGTTCCTTTGGGATCGGTTGTCATGAGGAGGAGGGTGGGGACCCATGTCCTTCCAGCTGCCAGACGTATTAAGTGAATCTGACTTAATGGAAGCTGGGTATTCTGTTTCGATCCATGTTATGAGTTAAATCAGAGAGTAAAGGCTTTACCCAGATGATGCCTGACTTCAGTTTATGGCCCAAAGGTCCCAAAATCATCAACTGAGTGTTAAGACAGATGACAAGCAACCAAAGCTAATTGGAAATGAAATGACAAAAGAGGGTCACAAGAATCGGCCGTTTGATCTGCGGACAGCCTGTTGAAGGGAACAGTACTTCCTTCAGTGCAGATGCGATTCACTCTTCAAAGTGGTTGAATTCTTTTAAAAGCTGGTTGTGAAGCAAGTGCAGTCCTGGTTGCTGAACAGCTGAGGTGGCTCATTATTGGAAGTGTCCTCCCATGCCCTTTCTGTCCTTGGAAATCTTTCCTTACTGCAAATGCCGAGTGACCCCTTCTTTTCGCAGTTTGATACTCCACCTGTTCACAGGTGATCTGCACCAGGCCCAGTACATCAGGTGGCCTGTCCAACCCTTTATTCACAAGCCAGACCGTGTGACTTGCTAGCTGCAGGCAGAAAACGAGAATGGTAATTGAGCCCCTGACCAGCCATCATGTGTGCCTGAGAGCTGCATTTGGGTTCAGTTGGTCACCTGTCTTGGCAGGACTGGTCCACAAGTTATGAATGCATTACTCAGACAATTTGTTTATCTTCTAATATTTTATCTTCTTTTTCTTCCTGTTTTTCTGTCCCTTGATCAGATCTGTTGGCCATATACACAAGAGAGTGACTGAGCATTTGAAAGTAGGTTACTATGTAGCTGACAACTTTGCAGAAGAATATACTGGCACAAACCTGAAAAACGTGGAAAGGAGTGTGGAAGATGATTATATTGCAAATCTCAGAAATAACTGCTGGAAGGAAAAACAGCAGAGTGAGTAACCCAGCTTGAAGGCAGTGAAATTAAATTGCTAGTCCCTTTAGTTTTTCATGAAGCTGCACATCACAGAATTGGATCCTCAGGGGTCAGTGCAGTTTTGGTCACTGCTCTGTGGAGACTCAAGCAGTCTTGTCCATAACAAAGATGGTGCCATCTTAGCAGCAAGGGTTTCATGGTTCTGGAGCCATATAAGGGTGTACTTTGCGTGGTATACCCTTTACATGCCAGATTCAAAAAGAAGCTGTCTTGTCCAGCTCGGAAACATTCTGTCTCCCTACCCTCTTTTTTACAATTGAAACTGTGAGCAAAAATTTTATAACATGGTGGTAAAAAACGGTAGAAGCCTGAAATGATTGAAGTGGGGTAGAGCTGGTTTGCTGGCTGCCAGCAGGCTGCCCCTGTTAGAGAAAACCCTCTCTCCCAAGTTGGCTTATCATCCATGCAGGCTTTTTAGAGCTTTGAGAATGCAAACTTTGCCTGACAAAGGTGTTGGAAGGGTGTCATGGAAAGTTAAGTTTTGGGCAACCTTGACATTTTTGCTCGTCTGATTTGGTCAAGGACCTTGTTCAGAGTATTCAGGTGCTACAGCTAAATGGAAACCCCAGGCTTAGGCACAGCCCTCAGCGCAGTAAAGTTGCTGATGTTGCCCTCCAGAATTTTCATACATCTTTAACTTCATAATAGGGAGAGGTTCTGATGTGCCCTCAGTGGTGATCAAGCTGTCCTGCCCTGATTTAATCTACTTTGGACTTTATTTCTAAGATAAGCTGTAATTATACTGCCTAAGGCAGTGTTCAGCAGCAGATAAACAGTTTTGTTTACTCCATTGCAGCTCCCTGCTTCAGATGACATAACGGCAAGGTGATGGGAATGTCCTCTTTCTGGAAGGAAGCAGAAAGCATGCCCTCTCTATGGTGTGCTCCGTGGGGAGCATCTGCCAGTCAGTCTTATATAGGCATAAGTGAACTGTTCTGTTTGCCAGGACTCTGAGCAATTGCTTGAAGGATTTGGCTTTCTTTTCCAGAGGAAGGCTTACTCTACCGGGCACGCTACTTTGGCGATTCAGATCTGTATCAGAGGGCACAGAAGATGGGCACACCAAGCTGCAGCAGACTTTCCGAGGTTCAGGCATCAATGCATGGATAGCCGTCACAGAAACAGTCCCTAGAGATCGACGTACGAGCTGGTGATTTATTTTTTGTTGAATTGGAAGCACAGCACATTAGTACTCACAGTTCTCCTCCTCATGCACTGATCTCACTTACTCTGGATGTCACGCTTCCGCCACTAACTTAATTTGTGCATTTACCCTTTTTGTGTTTTTTCAACTTTGCTTGCATTGCATTCTTCCTGTGCTTGTTTACTGAGCAAAGCAACATGAGCTGGTAGCTGATTGACCCATCACACGTTTATTTGAGATTAGCCTTCTGCTTGCTGTCCCTGGTTCTTGTCTCACTGAGAATGTATCTGAAGGACAGTGGCTTTAGCTATTAGCAAAGTCGTGCTACAAGCCAAATGGACGGTTACTTACCATTCATGTGGTGCAGCTTGTAGTGTCTGAAGGGGAACTTAGTAGACCGTAGGTGCAACATGCAAGCTTTGCCGGCTCGCCATCAAACCTGACACTTGAGGAGCTGGACCACTTTGTTCGTATGTGATTAGTCAATAATAGAACTTGAAAACCTGGGAGACTGGGGAATATTTCCTTGAAAGAGTTAGCATGCCCTTGCAAAGGTTTGGAGGAACCCACTGTAAACTGTAAAAAATACAGGCTTTTGTAATGGTGGGGAGAAACTCCAAACTGTATGAGGAGCTACTTGATGCAAACATGAGGAGCTTTCTTGTTGCAACAGAACCGTTAGGCAGCAGACAAAGGTAGAGCATGAGTCTGAAGTGGTACAGCCCCTCTCAAGCTCTATCACCTTAATGAGACCAAGACTTTACCAGGAGTGGGGAGCAGGAGAATATGATCCATAGTTTTACTTGGCTCTCAAACCTGTAAATGCAAAGTAGAATAATATTTCTCCGAACTGCCTACCCCCTCTATTTCTACCAAAAAAAAATATCCATTTTATTTTGAGGCCTCCATGTAGATTAACTGCACAAAAACATTTTAAGGAAGCCATGAAGTGTTTTTGTTGGTTATCTAAATTTACATTTGCCAACTGGCAACACTGAGCTTTGGGAATTGTTTTCATTGGGCACGTTTTGCTTTTTAGAGTTCTCTTTCTTCTCACATACCATATTATTTTGATAATTCCAGAGTTTATTCTGTATCGTTCCTGGGAATATCTCCATCTGTCTGTTGCAGGAGAATAATAAGATAAGTTTATTGTGCAGATCAGCATTTCCACTTACTACAGTCAATGGTCTGGCTTGCTCATAGAGGTAATAGTCTTGTTCCCTGGGATTTCTGTGATCCTTCTAATACATTGCTACCACTTTTCTTCTTCAGACTCTTCAGATGCCTGAAGACTTTGGGGAAGTGCACTGAGCCAAGGAGACAGACTTTCTATTTAAAGAATCAGACCTTAAATTAAAATGGAATTGGAGAATTAGCAACGCACAACTGCCCTCTCCTCTCTCTCTGTCTCTGTCCAGCACTAGACTTGGATGCCTCTTAGAAAAGAAAAAAAGACGACTCGTCTTTCCCCCCTTCCTTCGTTGTCAACTGTCATGTCTCTTTCTTGGGAGCCAGCCATCCTGCGAGCAAGCGTCGAGTCGTTTTATCTTTTAAGGCCTGCAGAAAATTAGGAAGCAGGAGAAGAGCGCCTTCCACAATTGCACTGGTCACTTCAAAGAGGGGGGGAAAGGATGACCTGTAGGAGTGAAGCAAAATCAGTTTTAAAAAAGATGACACATTATTTAGCATTAACTTATAGATGTAAATACATTGTATTTCTAAACTATGCAGGGATAGAATTAAATTATTTGGCTGACTTTATAACCCAGGATGTGTGAATTTTAGCCTTTTCTCCCCCTCCCCACCTCTCCCTTTGTCCTCTGAAACCTTTCCTACATAAGGCAACCTTGTCTGATGACATAAACGTTTTGTATTTTAAATGTTTTTTTTCTGGAGAAAAAAAATAGGTGTAGAATTTGACTCACTGTCATACCCCTATTTTGTATAAGGGAATCACTAAAACCTAAAGGAATGTTTCTACACACACTTTTTGACCCCGTGTGGAATTTGTGGTCTTCACGTTCAACAAGGAACATGTTCCTTGTGGAGGCGGGAGAGTGAATCGTCTCAATTGATACATAATTCATCAGGATTGCTTGCCTGTTTGTATGGAACGTTGTATTTGTTCCCCTGTCTGCAGCCCCCGTCTTTTCTGCCTTGCAATCAGTGTTTGCTCCTCGACAAACTGCTTCTGTTGATTTTTTTCCAGGAACCCATTGTCAACTGGCATAGTCTACCAAGTAGCACTGCTGCTCTGTATCTTCCATCCATTTTGGTGGGGCTTGGGTAGCCCTCCTCTTGCAGGAAAGCGAAAGGTACACAACACTTGATGTGTCCCCTCTGCTTCCTCAAAGGAAGAGAGCCCCACTATCAAAAGAGGTTTTGCTGCCACCTCCTTTGCTCGAGCAAGTTGAAAGAGGAAGCAGTAACAGCCCTGTTCCTCGATTGGACTGTATAGTCCATTTTCCATTAGAAGAAATAATTTCAACTCATCTCCTTAGTAATGCCCATTCTGATTTTGTTTTTTTAAAGCTGGTAGAGATAAATTACTTCTGGGAGCCAGAAGTAACTCATTAATGCTCACAGTTCTGATAAACCTAATTGTCCTAAATTAGTGGTATTACACAGGTACAAGGGAGCTAAGACCTGCCCTGGCACCCGCAAGGAATCCTCTGTTCCTGTCAATGGAGGAAACCTGTCTTGTCCTGCATGCATGGATCTGTGACCACGACAGCAGTAAATCAGTGCTCTGGATTGGGGCAGATTCATCCTGTTAAGAAAAAATTTAAGCCGAGTAAGCTGCATTACCATCCACGCACACTGAATTCTTCTATACGTTGCTGTTTATTTCGTCCAGAGATGTTTTCTATACAGTGTTTTCAGACTTCCTTTTGGAGGTTTCCTTGTTCAGAATCACACACTGACTATGCAGTGTGTGTTCCTCAAGCGGTCAGTGAGGAACAGAAGACAATGTTCTTTGACTTAGCCGGTTCCTTTGGAATCCACAAACTGGATGTTAATTTAATATTAAGTCACTGAGCCTGCCTTTCCGTCAGTCTTGTTACCTGTCCTAAGTCGACCCACACGGAAGGGCAAATGCACTCCGTGTGTACTAACCCTCCCACAAGACGCTCTACTTGCTCCCACAGTGTCTTGCCAGGGCAGGCATGGGCTACGTAGCCCTGTTAACTAAACAGCAGCGGCCCCTTGAGCTGCGGCTGTGTCCAGAGGGCCAGCTGTGGAACGGCTCAGTGCGAAGCTGCTTTGACATCTCAATAAAATGGCATCGGCAGTCCCAGCGCTGCCCTGTCCAGACCTTTCGATTTCTTCAATAGCTAGCCATGGATGGAATGAGCGATGTGCAATAAGAAGCATAGAGCCTGGAAGTTATTTGCAAAGGGTGTATTTCTTAATTTAGAATGAATTATACAGTTGTACATCTATAAATAAAGATTTATAACATGAAAACCCTGTGCCAGCATTTGTGTCATGAGGCTCAAGCCATGCAAACAAAGGGGAATAATTTTATTGAAAGGGGATGTGACATGAAGTGCCCTTACAGTGAACTCTGCTGAACTGTTGCTCATCCCCCACCCACCCCCGTCCCCACTAAAATGTATTGCCCTCCAAGACTGGCAAAAGTTGTTAATGATGGTAGGGATTAGGTGTTCCACTGGTATAAACTACATAAGCCACAGAGTTTTCTAGTCCTATGTGTGAAAAGCTGCTGTCTGCTAAAAATCTTTGTTAGAGGAGCGAATGAAGAACACATTTTCTGCCCCGGTGGTTTTCAGCCAGTTCTGTCTAACATTCTGTCACACTCCATCAGGAGCCAGAGTAAAGGCCAACCTTGCCTGTGTAGATAAGGGTTAGTTGTAGTTTTGGACAGAATTGCAGAAGGCAGAACCCACCACATAACTGTGTAGCAAATATTAGCCACTGGAGGGAAACTGCATTCGCTGATGATGTTGCAAGAAAGAGGCTGGAACTGGCTTACCACGCCTGAAACTTGATGCTACGTCCTACCTCCAAGGGCCCTGGAGTGGAGTTGTGCAGTTGTGCAGTGTGCATCTATGCACAGAAAGTACACCATGCATGCAGTAAGGTGGTGATGATGTGAGGACAAGTGGGTCAAACGTGACCTCCAAGAAGAGGGCAATGAGGCTGCTGGTGGTGGGAGAGTCAAGATGCAAGAAAAAAACAGCATTGTATGTCGAAAGTTTGTAAACCTGTTCAAAAATTCATCTAGCATCTAGGTAAAAATGAATCGCGAAAGAAATCAAAAGCAATGTTGGAGCCAGGCTTCCATGAGCCAGTGAGGATAATGCTTTCTTGAAATAAACGCCAAACTTTACAAGGAAGAAGGAATTGGTGGTAATGGAGGACTTCCAAGTAACCTGATACCCACTGGGAGGCAAACTCCACATGGAATCTCCAGCGAACTCCTTGCATATCCTGCCACTCTCTCGGAAGGTGGAAGAGGAACAACAAGATTGGGGATCCTTAACTTAATCCTACCCAACATTGGTGAGACATTGGTCAATGAGATTAAAGTGGAAACTTGGAGGAAAAACAACTATGGAGAGCTGGTATTCTTGCTGTTACGGAAAGCTAAAGATGAGCATGGTGAAATTCGTAACTTGGTTTTCAGGAAAACTGATTTCACATCCGCCCAAAGTCCTGCTCTGATGGCACCAGAACTATCTGAACAGAAGATTGTCATTTTAATGTCACCTTCCCAGTTTCCTTAGCACATTATTGTTTTTCTGTATACTAGTTAACTCCATGTGACATATTCTTTTATTCTTCTCATAATTATCATTTGTGTTTTAAAAATAGTGAATGGCTAGATATTCAAGGCTGCATAAACTCTTCCAGCTGAATGTCATTCTGAAGATGCGTTCACAGACAGCATGCCTATGGTTGGGCAAGGGACGGGACACAAAGATTTTAACGAAAAGGGTAGAGTGAAAATGCCAGTATATTTTAGCTTAAAGAGCTTGCTGCCAGTGACTAAGCCTTAGGAGAGGCAAATTGACATTTTAGAATGGGGGCTGGGAGAAGAAAAGTTGGAAAGTATAAAAGGATTTGTGGTATGGGAACTCTAGAAGGCCAGATTTGGCTCTGAAGCCAGGGGTTTTGTGGCCCTGTATATTTCGAAAAGATTCTGCTGCCATGCATCCCTATGTGCATGCCCAATCCACAGTTAAGTTTTGTGTGTGGGAATTAAAAAATAATAATGTTCACAAGTGGTTTTGTCAGCTCTTAGGTAAAGGCAGAAGTTTCTAGCATTGCAATTTGTGTGCATACTTAAGGGCAGGTATGTGTAACTTGTGCACATACATAGAACTTAGTACTGAGTTCAGAATTTTAACACCCTGAAACGCACCAGTTTCGTGACAAAAGGAAAGTTTCTAGCCTTTATGAAAAACAGACTTGAAAGTATGGGGAATAATTTAAGATATCTCCCAAGGCTAGAGGAATGGGGAGAGCAATCTATAAGATTTCAAGTGGTCTTGGATGGGTCTTTGCCAGATGGCTTGCAAAACAGGAAAAATATACAAAGCAAGCTACTTCACATGCAAATACATTTTCTTTACATAAAGTGCTCTGGTTATGAATCTGAGTTATCTTGGTTCAGATTTTTTTTCTTTTAAGCATTCTTAATTCTCACTTAGTGTTTCCCTTGCCTCCTCTTCCTTTTAGAGTAAAAATACTTCCTTTCTGTGTGCTGATAGTGCCCACAGTATAGTTTCAAAATACTGATCTTGTTCACCAGTCAAAAAGGATGGATATGGACAACTCTGCCATCCTTACCATAAAGTTGTCAAACCTTCCTAAGCCTTGGAGATAATCTCCAAGAACATGGATTAAAGACCTCAGCGACAATCAAACATACTTGAAATTAAATCAAACCATGTTTACCTCAGATCTCAGATCATTATTTGTTTTTCGGCGCCAGGTTAAGACCTTTTTATTTAAACGTCATTTTAATTGTTAACAATATTTACTTATTTATCAGGCCACGGCGACTTCTTTTCTTTTCTTTTATAACTTCTTTTATATCATTTATACTTTTTATTTATTTTATATTATTAATTTTAATTTTATATTGTTATTTTTATATTATATTGTATTTTATTGTGTTGTAAGCCGCCCCGAGTCTTCGGCAAGGGGTGGCATAGAAATGTTCTAATAATAATAATAATAATCTCTATGAAGATATCATTTACCCCAGAGCTGTGCTTGCATCTGAAAGGGATCCCAGAAGCAATGCCTGTGAAGAGCAGCAGTGACGAGACGTGTCCACCCCATGAAGGGAAGATCTGTGGGAGATAGGCCTGATGCGCAGCCCAGCCTTCAAGGCAATGCATACTCATGCTATGGAATCTGCTATGTCAGATGCACTGATGGATTAGGCTGAGTGGAGGGTAGGGCTATACATTGCTCCTATAAGGCCACATGTGTTCTCTATTATCAGAGGCCTATACAGAATACCGACTGGACAAGCCAGACCCTTGGCCCTGTCGAGCATGGCTCCTATGTTAGATCAGGCTTTCTTCGTAAAAGATACGATGCAATGCAAATTTATTGGTCAGGAGTACTTCCCTCTGGACCACGGCTCATCTGCTTGCTTTGCACATTCTCCTGGGCCTGCAACATCCACCCTAAATATGCCATGATAGCCAGAAATCAACTATTTTGGCCCTGCTTGGTGCTGAGAACATAATGTGCTGTTTACTCACCTTCTTCAAGCCATTAATAGAGATGTTTCGATACAAAGGGTGTGATGCTGAGAGAGAGAGAGCCTTTCCCCAGCTGCCTAAAGCTGAAACTGCAGACAGTTACACCAAGCTGTTACTGAAAAATAGGAGAAGCAGATGGAAAGGAAACAAAGTGGGTGTTCTTGGCTGCTATCCATTCCGTCAAGGGACAGCAAGTTGGGACTGAAATCAGCGATTCTACCTGCAGCTTTTTTGAGGGCAGCTTGTCTGTTTTTTCTCTTTCCAGAGAAAAAGTGGTCTGGATGATCCTGGTTGCTTGGGCCAATTCTGCTGACGGGAGTAGTTTGAGTTGATTTGGGTTGCCCCGTTCTTTCACAGCACTATTTCTATGCCTTTACCAGGTGTATATCAGACGGAAGGGGTGCAGCAGAGGGGGTGATGCATAAGTTCACCCACATGGGCAGTGCTAAGAACGACACCAGCAATATAGGAACCATGCAAGAAGGGAAGGCAACATTGCGGCTAGCAGAGAGTTTCATCAACTGGAGCTGCAGGGGCTAGCGTTACCTCCCCGTCTCCAGTTAAAATGGTGTGGGCAACCTGTGATGCGCAAGCGAAATGCCCCCTGGCTGAGCCCCAAACAAACCCGGGGTTCTCTTCCCAGGTTGTTCATGGCTAATTCATAGTTCAACTAGAATACAGGGTTCACAAGCAAGGACAGCCCACTAGTCAACAGTGGACGACAACAACTGGGCTTTCCCATTAAGCTTGGGCAAGAGAACGGCATCCCACAAGTGTGGCACAATCTTTGGGAGAGAGCGCCATTAGAACGTCCCACTGCTGCCTTGAGCTAGCTCTGGCTCTCTTCTGTATGCTGTTGTCCCCATCAATTGCTTATCAGCCCTGGATCTTCAGATCTCTATTGCGGGCAGGACACAGTGTGGCAGCTGACACTCATCAGGAAGTCACCTTAGGACCCATTCTTCTGTCCGACTGGATCTGGATGGGTGGAGAAGGAGACTTCTGACCTGCCTTTGTTCAGAGAGGAAACAGAGTTGCCTTGAAGTAAGACGCACTTCCTGCCTGGCTGAAGTCCAGCACCGCTCAAGCTGTATTAAGATACAAGCAAGCAAGAAGATGCGGGGAGAGGCCTGGGCTAGAAAGCGCCATGAACTCTCACAGAGCTGGCTCATAAGCCCCTTCAGAGAACTGAAAGACCAGCATCATCTGGCATTTGAAGGGAAGTTCCAGTTCAGGATCCTGGCCAGGCTAACCTGGAATAGGAACCAAGAAGCACTAGACTGTTGCTGTGGGAAATACACTGTTGCTACCATGAGGACTGCAGTGATGCTCAGAGAGAATAGGACCTTCTGAGGTGGGAGGGCAGCAGTGCTGGTGCCGAGACCCTACACGCCTGGGTTCTGCCACTCCATTTCTCATACAGGATCTCTTCTTTGTGCTTTCCTTTCTTATTCTCCCCAAAACATTTCATCCCAGTATTATGTATTTCTGAAGGATGCAGGGGTGGGGGTAGCTGCCAGCTTTGAATCTGAACCATAAAATCACAGAATAGTTGAATGGGAAGAGGCCTAGAAGGTCATCAGGTCCAACCTGCTCCTTGGTGCAGGACTCCAAGTTAAAACATCCCGAGCAGATGGCCATCCAGGTGCATCTTGGATGCCTCAAGTGTTGGAGAGCCCACAACCTGCTCCGGTCATTGGTTCCATTGTCGCATTTCTGAAA